TAGGTACTTGGCATCTCCTGTAACCCTCAGTTAAGGAGCATCCCGGACAGATCTCCCCAAATCCCTTAGACACCGAAACTTAAAATCCTGACTCCCTTAAATTTCAAGGTATGGAGAGCTTCACGCTTCCGGAAGGCTCCTGTAAACCGGCTGTGCCTTCACTGCAGCAGCCAGCTTCGCCTTGGGTGTGTAGGACTTTCGGGTCCAGGGTTCGGTTTAGGGTTTAGGGTTTAGGGTCTAGGGTTTTGGGTTTTGGGTTTAGGGTTTAGGGTTTAGGGTTTAGGGTTTAGGGTTCGGGAGGTTCTGAGGTTTGTGGTTAGGGTTTCGAGTCTAGCCTTAGCGAGCGCGATGGCTTGGGTTTATCTATAGGGCTTGTGGCTTAAAGGGCGTATTATAGGGTGCAGTTTCTTGCAGGGCCTTACTAGTGGCCTGGGAATTTGAGGTCAGGGAAGATTGTTAATCAAGGGTTTGCGTTAACATCGTTCCTCTTCCACTTCTTCATGCTTCTGTTTGGTAGACCCCAAACTCTAAACCCTTATAAATACCCTAAACCCTAAACAAACATAAAGCCACTTGGTTTATATATCTGGGTTCTGGAGTACCATGCTTTAATGACCATCGTTTTCGGGGACCGGTTCCTTAAAGGAACCGTTATGGTTTAGGGTTCTTAGGAGGGTTTAGGGTTTAGGGATACAAGTGTACTCCCCCTGTTTACTTGAAAGCCAAGTTACAAATAAGGTAGCTATACTTTTATCGGTACTTACAGCGTCAACCCCAAGTAAGGATCCCTGGTTTTTGGGAACTGTATTGGTCCCTCTGCCTGAAACTACCAACTTGCTGGCAACCCTTTCCCCCTAAATGCCTCAAGCCCTAATCCCTTATGTGGGTGGTTGTCAAAATTATGATCCCTTTTTGGGTCCCTATAATAGTACGGCACCTAAAATTTAGGGTACCCCAAAAGGGACCATAATATTGACAACTACCCATGTGATCTTATGTCTATAGGTGTGCATACACCGCAAGGCAGGTTCTGCTCCTTGTACCTCTTACTCAACATCTACTTGCTAAGACCCCACTTCCAGGATCATTGGGCCTAAGTATCTAGGGTTATACATACACTATAATACTCAGAACTACTTATAACATCAACTAACTAAGGTCTACTAATAGCCTTATCTGAAACTGTAATACTTAGAACTACTGTTAACACCAATGACGGCATACTGCATACTTATACTTCCATACTGCAACCAGAATACTTAGAACTACTTATAACACCAATGAAGGTATACCTGTAACCTTATACTTACTAAGTCCCATGGTCCTCCAAGCAAATTTTTAGCGACCCAGAGTCCCCGAAATCAAGGAGGGGGACGGTGCTCATTGCAAAGACTGCTTCGAGACTTGGTACCGATTAGGGATCCTTTTTTTTGGGGGGGGGGGGGGGGGGTGGGGGGTGGTCAGGGCTTGAGGGTTAGGGTTTAGGGTTTAGGGCCAGTTGAGGGGGTTAAGGCCATAGGGTTTAGGGTTTTAAACACAGAGCCCCACCTAAACGCACTTTTGGATGCTGTTGAAATCGACACCGAGGAGATGGCCATGTGCCCATGTACTTTATACTTGGGCCTTCAAGTACCTATATAGGTACCCCTTCAAGGCCTAAGTATATGCTATTTTGCTAATTACTTAGAACCCTTAAATCAAACCCTAGAGATCCCTTATGTGAACCCTTCAAGCAACCCGTTTGGGAACTATATAGCTACATGGAGCCTTATATTCTCTACATGTCCCGAAGCCCTTATGGTACCCTTAAAAGAACCCTTAATAGGAACCCTTACATAAAGGAACCCCTTAAAGGAACCTATTTGGGTACTATGAAGCCTTGGGGAATGGACCGCCGAGGAGATGGCTATGTGCCAACATCCCTACTGCGGCACCTGCGGGTCTTCTGGACGTTCAAGATTTCAATGCTTCGGCCTGACAGTAGCTGAACAGGGTTTTGGGTTTAGGGTTTAGGGTTTTGTGTTTAGGGTTTTGGGGTTTAGGCTTTGGGTTTAGGGTTTAGGGACTACACTAAGGCCAAAGTATATCTGTACCGTATGGATACATGGACCCTTGCTTTAATGTTCGGCTCGACACTTAACTCCACTGTTTCCCCTTTGCAGAGGTTTTTGCCAGCCTTAGCCGGCTAGGGGCGAGGGTTTTGGGAATAGGGTTTGGCGTTGAGGGCTTACCGCTCCCGTTCAACATCATGCCTGTCATGGTTGCTTTCGTTATCAGACCTTGCTTGGTGCACAAGAACAAAGACAGCAGACCTACTAAAGACACTGAGCCCCTAAACCGAACGAGGCGGGCCCCACCGCACCCCTCAGGGTACCCTTAATAGAGGCCTTACAGCCCTTCAAACTGTAGTGAGTGAGGGTTTGGGGTTCGAGGTTTAGGGTTGACCGCCGTTTGAGGTTTTGCCTTGCAGTTTAGGGTTAAGTCCCGTGGTTACTTCGCAGCATTTCATCGAAGAACTCCGCATCCCATCCGTGCCAACCCCTAAACCTTAGGGTGTAGGGTTTCAGGGTACCTATATAGGGACTACATTAAGGCCAACGTATAAAGTACTTCATCCATTTCCAACATGTTCGATCTCCAGAATTTGATGGCAGATTTCGATAGAACATGTCTTGGACCCTTAGGGAAACAACCAAAAGCTCAACGTTCCAAAACGTTAACCTCGAGCTCAATCCTTACGTAGCAGCACCCGATGACTACAGGACTGCAGGGAGTTTGGGGTTCAGAGTTCCGGGTTTAGGGTCTCGGTGCTGAAATCCTTCGAAGAAGTCACGCTAATTAGAGGCTTCAATGAAGGAGCATCCTTCAGCAGCTGACAATCACTTAGGCCTTTTCAAGACCAGACTCTGCAAAGCCCATGAACAATGGCACATCCCCTTAGCGCAAAAATCGTTATACCAGCCTCCAAGAGCAATATAGCACCCAGCCGGGCTACTGATCTCAGGTTGCGAAAGCCATGCTGCGAAAACCCAGAGCCCTGAACTAGAAAGGAGCTCTTTCGCCAAGCATGGCATCTCACCCCAAAGCTCATAGACCTTTGAGCGCGGAGCGTGTTTTCAGCGAGTAGGCCATTACATCTATGAAAAAACATTCATTGATCCCTTGAACTCCTGTTTACAGAAGCCCTTCACCATGAGTTCCCCCAAGATTTATTTTGCATGTGTTCTAGGACCTAGAGTAGGCCCTTATTCCCTTTTTTAAGGGTTCGGGTTCCCTTATAAGCCCCTTTAAACCAAAAAGGGCACCCTTTTTATTCCTAGGATACTCTTGGGTCTAGTGTCTGACACCGGGTTCTAACTCGTAGAGGCATGGTCGCTAATGTGCTGCCTTGGTTCTGCATGCCTGTTGCATGTATCCGCTTAAGCAAAGGCAGGGGTTGCGTGGTTCTTCTGTTATGTGTTGTGGATTCTCCATGCAACTATATAGTATGTACTCAGGCGTTGCCGTACTTATCTAGGAACCCGTTCCAAGGCCTAAGTATTTTCAGGTACTTAGGACCTAGCTGCTAGGTTCTTGTGGGTCCGGGTAAATCCCCAAAAAACATACCTTGACCTACCCTACTCTACTTTTTTGTGTAGTTCACAGTTTCTAAATTGTTGAACACCGGAACCTTGAATGTTTTAGGGACCCTACTACAAGTAGGTTTTGGCAGTTCAGGGCAAACAATAGGCCTAAAGCCTAAGCCTTACTAAAGTCCAAGCCCTAAACTTAACCTCGAGCCCCAAATCCTACAAAGCCCAGGTTCTGTGTTTCGGCGGGTTTCAGCCGTGACCGCGAGTTGCTGGACTACCAATGCATGCGCCCTGTCCTACTTGAGGGATCATGAGTTGAATTTACAGTCACGTGTTGGGGCTTAGGTTTAGGGTTTAGGTATATGGGTAGTTGTCAAAATTAGGGTCGCTTTTCGGGTCCTTATTATAATATTTAGGGTACCCAGAAAGGGATCATAATTTTAACGCTACGCCGCCCGCCTCGGCTGTGTAGCGGCAGGGCAGCGGGGGGGAGGGGGGGGAGGGGGCGACAAATCAGGTAAAATGAGGGAAGGGAGGCCTGGGAGGGGGGGGGGAGGCCGACAAATCAGGTAAAATGAGGGGAAGCCGGGCAAGGGGGTGGCAAACGAACGCAAAAACAGGGTGTCTTTCGGCTGAGGATAGGTGGAGGGTACCTGAGGTAACCACCAAAACGCCTGGGCCTCTGGCCTCGGCGGATTTTGACAACCACCCATATAGTAGAGGCAGAAAGTTGGAACATGGCTTTAGGAGGATTCGTGCTGGGATCCCCTACGATGTACTTCAAGGGCATGAGGAGAATGATGTTCCAACTTTCTGGCTTCTACTATGTAACCTTACGAAGTCCCATGATCCTTAAACCCTAAACCCTAAATCCTAAACCCTAAACCCCTAAACCCCTAAGGTTGTCCTCCACTGGAGTTGAGGGGTGAAGGGCTCCAGGGTTCAGGGCCTTCGAATGTAAGGATTTACAGGTTCAAGGTTCAAGGTTTAGGGCCCATCATGCGGGAGCTTCATCCTTACAACTAGATGCGCCTTTCTGGTGAGTAAAATCATACTTGTTCCAAGGATTCTAGCGTTGAGGATATAGTCTGTTTTGTTGGATGCATGTGCCCCTCTTTGCAGGCTTCCTCTCCCAGGGTTACCATGACTTTTCTCTAGGACCTAGACTAGGCCCTTCTTCCCTTTTTCTAGGGTTCAGGTTCCCTTATAAGCCCCTTAAAACCAAAACGTTTTCATTCCTAGGTCACTCTTGGGTTTAGTTTTCTGTAGCGCTACTGTAGGAATACTAAACGTGCCGTAGGTTTCACCGCAAATGGGTCTGCAAGGGTTCAGAAACGGCTTTTCTCAGGGCCCCCCTTAGATGTGGACCCTCGCGGGGCTTTGACGTTCAGCGGACCGGTTGATATTGCATGAAGTCATGAAAATCTCATGAGACCTGGTCAGCAGATTCTGTGCAACAGGTCCAAACGATGTTCCCTAAACCCTAAACCTACTTGCTGAGTGGCGGACGCCTCCAAGTACCAGGTGCGAGAACTGTGCGAAGGCCATGAACCGCTGCTGCGCCTGCGGCAAGGCCTTCGGTTTGAGGGTAGTGTGCTTAATTCGGATTAGGATTACCCGAGAAACGCTATACCAAAAGACCCTAAATCCCACACCCTATGCCGTCCTGAGCCCCAAGCCTTGGCAACCGCCACCGGCTAAGAGACTGGGGAACCACTGAACCCTGTGCTGGGCTCTTGTTGAGGAATGTAAGTAATTTATATAATAAGTTACTATAATCGGGATTTATAGTAAGCAACATGGTTTCTTTATTATGGTAATTTGAATTTTATTCCTTTGTAGGAAATAGGAAATAACACATGGTTTCTTCATTATGGTAGTTTAAGTTATATGTTCCTTAACAAGAGCCCAGTCTGGTCAGGCCTTACCCCAGTCGCATGGAAGCTTGGAGAGTTTACGAAGTTTAACCTGATGGAGCCGTAAGGATCCATGTACCGATATACTTACGATTGGCTGTAAAGTCAACTTTTCAACTCTTGGGGCTCTTTTGTAAGGTAGTCGGTTCTGAAACTTTCAACTTTTATTTCCTTAGGGTTTGGGCCAGTGAATATAGTACATACTATGGTCTTACACCACCTATATCGGAACACCCCCCTGATGTCAAAGAACCTACAAGACAGGCACATAGATCCGTAGGGGAGTTTATGAGGAACCCAGCGTCTGAACCGGCTCATAAACCCTGGGTTCAGGGGCTTTGGGGGGTTTAACATAGGGGCCCAAGGAAGTACCAATACGATTTTGGAGTTTCCTTATCAGAAGTATAGTACAAGTGCACCCAAAACCTGGAGCCTTTGAATACGGGGTTTTGGTTTAGGGGTTTTTTAGCGGTTTAGAACTTCCCTGACCCTTCGCTTCGGCGGCCTCCACCGGATTCGTCTACAACCCTTAAACCCTCTGCCTTAACCCTGAAGATTTACAGCCTCAAAGCCCTACCTGGACCCCAAAAGTATGTAGAATAATAGCATTTTATAGGTAGTGGGCCATTATTTTACCTACTTTTGGGGGGTCGAGTCTAGGTAAAGCCAAATAAGTAAAGCCCTAAACCCTAAAACCCCCAAAATCCTGAAAACCCTGAACCCCAAACCTAGGGCTTGAGGGAAGGGATGGAGAATGGCCTAGTTGTGCAGGGGCTTGAACAGGTTGCTGCAGGGACGTCGAAAACACCAGAGAATCCAACTTAGGGGTACTTAGAAATATTTTTCAATTTTTGGTTATTACAATCCTTAAGAAACAGCTAAAATTGTAATTGTTGCTAGGGTTCTGAGTTCAGTCTAGTCAACCAAGCAGGGAGCAGACCCAGACTGAAGGCTCTGCAGCATGCGTGTTTCGGGCACTTCGATGCGGGCTTCCAGGAATAAGCGCTTCCTAGACCCCCCAAACTAGGCAAAATAATGGCCCAAAACCTTAAAAAGGCTATTGTTCTACATACTTTTGGGGTCCAGGTTTTCACAAGACAAGCTGAAGCAAGCCCGCCCGAAGGAGCACCATCTATCAAAGCAGAAGAGCAGTTGAAGCAGGATTGCCAACAGCAGCGTTGGTAAAGCCACAAGACCGTAATACATTGACACACCTGAAAACAGCCTAAAATTCCATCAGTATCCCTTAAAAGGCAATTGTGGGGACCCGTACGGGAACCCCTCATTTCGGAGGCCTTCAACGGCAAGCCCAACAACGTCAGCCTGCCATTGAACCATGGTGGGGGCGATGATGGCGGCGAGCCTTTCGTGCCTTCGAGTCCAAAGCGTTTTGGGGCTTCGGGCATATAGGGCTTTTGGGGTTTGGGGTGAGGTTCAGGGTGTAGGGTAGTGCAGGATTTGGGGTTTAGGGTTTAGATGTTTAGGGAGTCGTGGTTTCGGGTGTAACGGGCTTTAAGGGTTGACATGCTGAGTGGCATAGAGTATGGAGTTCCATGGGGTAGCGGAGAAAGAGCAACAGCTGTTGTATGGCATCTACACCCCCCGAAGACTCCATGTGCCCACATTAGAGGAAGGTACTTAGGCCTTCACCCTGTATAGGTACTCACAGGCATAAGTACCTGCGATATGGGTATATGCAGCCTTTGGGACCAAGGTAGCAAAGAAGGAGCGCAGACCGGAGAAGCCGAGTCGGAGCTGTTCTCTCGGCAACCCGCCAGACAGCGCCAAAAGAAAGCGAGCTTGTGGAAGTGGAGGCGGGGAGGCACAACCTGCTGTGGCGAATCTGGAGCAGATCAGAAGAGCCTCCCTCCGGTCAGCGGACTGCGGCGTAGCCGTGCCTGGCCGCCGGATCCTGGTTCCATCGGCGCCTCCTGCAACTGCAGGGATCATGCCGCGAAGCCTGCGGGTCGGCAGGTGGGGGGTACCCCCGGCCGCCCCTGATCCGCCTTTGATCCTGAATCCTCTTGAATTCCAATGATCAAAACTTCCTTTTAATCTGCTACCTTGAACGCTTATTTGGGATCTTCCGAAAATAGGGGACCCTGACATAGTACCGTAAGTAGTTGGATCCTTGTTATAAAAACCCCCATAATACGTACTCCTAATTTTCGGAAACTCCCATTTAGAAGCCGCGGATCCGATAAGCGCCAATCCTATAAGATTAATTTAGACTCTAGGGACCTCTACTTGGAGGGTCGGGGGGCTTAGTAAGTAGATGGTAAGTAGACTTATAAGCACCTGAAAAGGGACCCTAATTGGGGTTATGGTATTTATAAGTCCATAAAATAACCAGTTACTACGTCCCCCAAACCCTAAACCCTAAACCCTTATAGAATCCCTATAGATCCCTTTAAAGGACCCCTTTAAAGGAACCCCTTATCTGTACTAAGTCCCCCGACCCTCCAAGTACACCCTAAACCCTGGGCTGAAGCCGAATCCTCAAATACTGCAGATCCCATTTATCACCCTGACCCTAACCCTAACCCAGAGATTCCAAGTACCCAAATAGTAGGGTTTTAAGTCCGAAAACCCATGCTCTGAATGGTTTTTGGACCTTGAAACCTGCTATTTGGGTACTTGGACCCTCAGGGTAAGGGTCCATGTACTCATGTAGCATATACTTGGGCCCCAATGTACCTAAACAGGGACTACATTAAGGCCAATGTATATACTATATGAGTACATGGACCCTTAGGGTGATGGATCCTGGCGCTGCAAAGCCTGCAAAGCGTTCGAACCCCTTCTACAAAAGCTTTTGAATCCGAACATACAGGCCTAGGGTTTAGGGTTTTAGGGTTTAGGGTTTAGTAGGGTATTATAGTCATTCCTCAGGGTTCCTCAGTATAAGTCTACAGCACCGTTCCCAAGACCCTAGTCTCGTCATTCAAGCCCCTGTACCAAACCCTTCTGAAATGCGACCTTAAACCCCCAAACCCTAAAGCCTAAAACCGAAACCCTGAACCCCTAAACCGTAAACCCCAAACCCTAACACCGAAAGCCATAACCCCTGAACCCTAAACTCCTAAACCCTGAACCCCTAAGCCCTAAATCCCAACCCTAAACTCCCAAAATCCTTAAACCCTAAATCCCAAATCCCTACTTAAAGGATCATGGGACTTAGTAACCAGGGTTATAAGTAGGGTAACTAGACTTATAGCTACTTATAACCCCAATTAAGGTCCTTATAACCTTACTCACTAAGTCCCATGATCCCCATAGAACCCCTATAGATCCCTTTAAGGAACCCTATTATAGAACCCTATAGTACCAAAAGGAACCCTAAGCCTTACTTACTAAGTCCAATGACCCTCTAAGTAAGCCCTAAATCCTAAATCCCTAAACCCTAAACCTTATAGATCCCTTTACAGGAACCCTATATAGGGACCCTTTAAAGGAACCTTACACCCCAAATCCCTAAGCTGCGACTTCAGGACTTCGAGGCTGACGAGAGAAACTGGGAGGAGCCCGGCTTCTAGGGCCTTGAGTGGGCCTTTGGGGTTCCTTTAAAGGGATCCTTCAGGGGTTCCTTTAAAGGGATCCTTTAGGGGTTCCTTTAAAGGGATCCTTTAGGGGTTCCTTTAAAGGGATCCTTTAGGGGTTCCTTTAAAGGGATCCTTCAGGGGTTCCTTTAAAAGGATCCTTTAGGGGTCCCTTTAAAGGGATCCTTTAGGGGTTCCTTTAAAGGGATCCTTTAGGGGTCCCTTTAAAGGGATCCTTTAGGGGTTCCTTTGAAGGGATCTTTAGAGTTCCTTGAAAGGGGTAGGATTCAAGGTTTAGCGTTAGGGGTAGGATCTGTAGGGCTCCTTTAAAAGGGTCCTTTAGGATTCCTTAAAGGGATCCATAAGGGTTCTATAGGGGATCTTTTGGGTTCCTTTAAACCCTACGCATCGAAGGACTCATACGGGTGGTTGTCAAAATTATGGCCCCTTTCGGGGTACCCCAAATATTAGGTGCCGTATTACATTAAGGACCCGAAAAGGGACCATAATTTTGACAACCAGCCACATATTAAGGCTTTTGGGCCCAAAGACCATACTATACAAGACTTTTGGGCTATCTTGATGCCCAGGGTAAAGGGCTTTATAAGGAGGTTTGAACTTAAAGCCCTGACCGACTCAAAACCTAAACCGAACCCAAGGGTTTAGTTTAGGGGATTAGGGCGCAGTTCCCATGCTTCGTGGCATCTCGCTGTAGCACCGTGCCCTATTCACTTTGCGGTCTCCGGACTAGGACTGAGTATACTCAGAGCAGGGGCCCGGTACCCTCCAAAGACAAGTGATACCAGGAAATCGAGCGTCATGAATCGCACCGTCCAAACAACCCTAAACCCTAAACCCACCCTAAATCCTTCAGTCACGTCAGTACTGCAACTCAGGTTGCATCCATCCTGCACCAAGACGCCGACGGAACCCAAGCATGAGAATCACCACCGATAGAAAGCCCGAATACACCCGTAGAGACGCTGTGTCCTAAACCTATTCAAACCCCTTCCCAAAACAGCCCAAAAGCCTCGTATGGTATGGTCCTTAGGCCCAAACCCTAAACCCTAAACCCAAAAGCCTCAAAACTTTAGGGCTCCTTAAAAGGGCTCCTTTAAAGGGGTTCCTTACAGGGATCTATGGGGTTTAGGGTTTAGGGTCTACTTGAAGGATCATGGGACTTAGTAACTAGGGGTACAACTAGGGTAACTATACTTGTAACTACTTATAGCCCCAATTAAGGTACTTAGAACCTTACTTACTAAGTCCCATGATCCTCCAAGTATCCCGCTCGAGGATCCTACTTGGAGGATCATGAGACTTAGTAAGTAAGGTTATTTGAGCTGCCTGCATGGGGGTCTAGTTACCGTTACCTTACTTCTAGCCTAAGGTACTGACTTCGTAAGTAAGGTTAAAACTGCCTTGATTGGGGTCTAGTTACCTTACTTCTCCTAGTTACTGAGTCCCATGACCCATTGAGTGCAGCCCCCCCGGCACACACCCCTTCAAAGCTTAAGCGGCACCAAGCTACGAAGCAGTACTACGACGTGGAGACCAGAACAACCGTTAACGTCAAATTTAATGGACAAATACTTTCCAAGATCCCAATGGCTATTCCTACTACAGAAACCCGAATTCCTACTATGTAGGTACTTTGGATCCTGTGGGAAAAGTCAACACCAGCTATTTTATACTTCGAGTCCTTAGAGCTTTTCGGTTACAGGCAACCTTATAGACCCTTGTAGGAACCCTTATAGTAGGCTCTTTATAGGGACCCTTAGCGTAAAGCAATTAACACCCTAAAAGCCTTATAGATCCCTGTAAAGGAACCCAAAACATCAGAAGAGGAGCGGATGGCTGCAGCGCTGGAGGTCGCTCGAAAGGACCCTCGAAATATGTCCAAGGGCTTCGAGTTTAGCGGTTTTGGGGTTAGGGGTTTTGGGGTAAGTTTAGGGCTCTTAGGCCGAGTTACCCGCCTATTCGGGTTCCGTTGCTGTAGGGGTTTCTCAAAGGGTTCCGCAGTGGGTGCCTAGCGTGAAGGGCTTCAGGGTTTCGCGAGGGGTTTAACAGAGATTGTTGTTGACTTTGTCTTGAACTGTATGGTGCTACCAAGTTGTTACGTACATAGAGCTCAAGAGCCTATGCTGAGTTTGTCTCTGGGGGCCTACTACTAGTAGGGCCTTCGGAGTAATCCCACCACAGACGCCCGATGCTCAATTGCCACCGTTGCAATTGGCCGCATCCGCACAGCCGCGGTGACAGGGAGGCCCTTTCCGGACGGAGCCGTCCGAATTAACCAATTGCTCCGCTGTACAGTCTTTGGGCCGTCTCCTTGTCCTTCTTGGAGGAGCGTGCAAACAAGGCGACGACCCAGTGGAGCTCATGGTCGGGAAACGAATTACGGCGGCCACCCTTGGAGCGCCAGCTCCGGTAGTGGCCCAGTGCATGCGTCCTCTCCCGGATGCTGGCCCGAAGGTTTTCCTTCATCTGGGCCGATGGATTCAGCCCCTTGGGGTTAGGGGCATTGGTCCGCTCAAGCTCCTCCGCCTCGGCGATGAAGGCCGGCGCCTGTGACGAAAAAGACAGCACTTTGCATGGTTTCCAATCTGATGACGAACCTTTAAGGAAACACATTCGTTTTTAAAAAACAACAGTTGCAGTAGGCACCCTTCTTGTCCGGATGGTACGGTCTACTAAATCTTCATCACGAACGACTAAGAACTAACACTAACTGTCTTAAACCCCTAAAACCAAAAAGTTTACTACCGCGAAGGCTTCAAACCTGCCCAATTGTTTACTAACCCAAAAATCTCAAAGCCTTAAACCCTTAAAACCAAAAGGTTTACTACCGCGAAGGCTTCAAATCTGCACAATCCAAGGAACCTGCACAATCCAAGGGTAAGACCTGTGCAAAAAGCTTGGAACATTCGTTCCAGGAGCCGTGAATCCTAAACCCTAAACCCCTAAAACCCCTAAAACCCCTAAAACCCTAGACCCTAAACCCCCAAAGCCCGAAGCCGCTAAACCCCTAAACCCCTAAACCCTAAACCCCCAAAGCCCTAAACCCCTAAACGCCTAAAACCCTCATTCCGGGAGCCCTGCAGTACAGCGGCTACTCGAAGTTCGCTGACAGCCTCTCGTCTTTAGGGTCTACTTGGAGGTTCATGGGACTTAGTAAGTAAAGTTACAAGTACCCTAATTTGGATTACAAGTAGTGTTAAGTATAGCTAAGCTACCCTAATTATCACCCTAGCTTCTACGCCCAATGATCCTTTAAAATAGTTTAGATTCAGGATGGTTAGGGCTTGGGCTGTAGGGTTTAGAAACCCTGAACCCAAAGCTCTAGGGGTTGGTTGTTGGGGCTTTACCCTAAGACTCCATGTGCCCATATAGTAGGTACTTAGGCCGTAAAGGGGTCCCTGTATAGGTGCTTTAAGGCCTTAGTACCTGCTATATGGGTACATGGAGCCTTTGGGTTTAGGGTTATATAGGGTTTGAATGTTTTTGGGGTATATAAACCCTATAAGGTTTGGTTGGAAATTCTAAACGCCAGGGATAGCTCATTAGGGTGTGTAGGGTTTGCTTAGAAATTCTAAACCCTACCCTAAGGCTCCTGGACCCTTGCAGCGAGGTCCCTAACCCTAGCCCCCAAAGCCGAAACCCTCCCCCAGAAGGCCCAACACCTGGTTTGGTGGTGCAGGGTTTGAGCAGCCCTCAGGCGAGGTGCGGGCGTGAACCAATTGTTACTAGGACCTAGAGTAGGCCCTTATTCCCTTTTTCTAGGGTTCAGGTTCCCTTATATAAGCCCCTTAAAACCAAAAGGGCACCCTTTTCATTCCTAGGTCACTCTTGGGTTTAGGAGATAGGGGGCCTCACTTAAACAACGCAAAAACGAATGAATGTAAACTCCTGCTGACTTGGATTTCTTCTCTGTCTCTCTATAAGGGCCGGCCAAAAACGTATTTGTTGGACCCTGAATATTTGGAAGCCCCACGCACGTTTTGGGTGTTTAGGGTTAGCTTAGGTGTTAGGTCCTTTTAGGTTTGAGCAAAAGAGTGGTTGTAGGGCTAGCTATGCTACTTGGAGGTTCAGGCCACTTATAACTACCCCTGAACCTCCAAGTACAAGGGTGTCTGTGGGCTTCACATCTCAAGGAAGATCAATCGGACAAGGCGCTGAAAATTATTATTGGCTTGTGGAACCCTCCGATGTTTCAAGGAATTCCCTAAGGGTCCAAGTAGTTCCTATTTATGGTTTTTGGTACCTATAATGGCCCTATTGTCTTATTCTAGGGAGTACTTGGACCCTCTGGGATTGAGTTCATATCATTAGTGCCGGCCCTTGTACTTCTGTAGCATGACATCAGTATGCCGATCCGGACTTGAACAAGACAGCATCGAGGCTACCCGCCCTTGTTCGCCGAACTCTGGGACAAGTATGACCCGGACCACTTGGGCGAGATCAGCATCATCCTCAGCTTGTTGGCACAGTCTCTGGGCTTTGGAGTACCATACTCTAATACCTTTTTCTTAAAGGGAACCATATGAAATAAAGGTTTATACTTTTTTCTCCCTGGTTACTTAAAAGCCCAGGTCTTGTTCCAAAACATCAGGAACCTAGACTGCTTTACAGCTAATTCCGTTGAGGTTCCTCATTCTATGTAATTCTACCCCCAAATCTATCGTTGCTGAGGTTTTTTATGCCCTTTCTCACAGAACTCCGCCAGTCGCCCTTAGACCCCTGGAATTCGAAGATCCCTCAAAGGACCCCTCAGCAAGCCCCGTTTGTCGAGTCTGTCTTGAAGGGGAGAGCCAGGTGTACGGATGTCAGATGTGAAGCCGCAGGCGGTTTGGGGTTCCGGTTTTTGCGTTTGATTTAGGGTTTAGGGCTTTGGGGGTTTAGGGTTTAGGGTTTAAGGTTCAAGGTTTTAGGGTTCTGGGGCTTTGGGGTTTAGGGCTTCGGGCTGTAGAGCTGCACGGCTCACCGTACTGTGATAGCTCAGACAGCTCCGAGACCCGAGACGACGCCACAACAGCCTCCCCAAAAACTCGGTGCAGTCGGTGAACCCGCCGTAGCTTTCCTTTACAAAAGAGGAGAGGACTTTCCAGCACTTCGAAAGTTCATGCAGGACCTCCTTGAACACGGCAACTTGCATTCGCCAGTTCTGCTGCCCTGTGGCGAGGTGATCGCTCGACAGGATTGCCACCTGCTTGTCACGGATGTAATCCGACTACTACGTTGTTTTGAACTGTTTCGCCTTACGGATTTACAGCGACCGGTTGTCCTCAGAATGGCTTTTGCCATTGCTGAGTTCTCCAACACCTATTGTTCGCAGCATTCTGCTAAAAGGTTGCACTTTTTTTCTTGCGGGTATGGCCCTAAAAACCCAAACCACCTTTTGGGTTTGGGGCTTTGGGGTTTAGGGCCGTACTTGGAGGTTCATAGGTAGTTATAAGGGTTCCCTAAAGGGTCGCTTTAAAGGGATCTATAGGGATTCCATAGGGGTATAGGGTTTACTTGGAGGGTCATGGGTAGCTATAGCTGGAGCTACAAGTCCCCTAATATGGGTTATAGCTATAGTCACTCCCTAAACCTAAACCCTAAACCTTAAACCCTACTCTACTTATACTTCCATTTATAACTACCAACTACCCATGGACCTCCAAGTAATTAGGCGGCCCCGACCTGTGTTCTTATTGGCCGCTGTATAGAAACTAGGCTTGGTAGCTGAAGGTACACACCCATTCTACAATAGAACCGCAAAGAGGCACCCGCATCCATAATTTAAGCTGCTCTTGAGACAAACTTCGACCTTACACTGGCAAGGAAGCGAAGAATTCGAAGTTTTAGGGTAACCCTAAACCTTAAACCCTAAACCCTAAACCTTAAACCCTAAATCCTAAACCTTAAACCCTAAACCCTAAACCTTAAACCCTAAACCCTAAACCGATTTGGGGGGGTTAGGGACCCAGGGCTTCTTTGCAGGGCTCTGAAAAAGCCGCCATAACTCCCATGGTAATCCCTGTACCTGACCAAGATTCGTACAAATCACCTTGACGGTTTTAGGGCTTAGGGTTTTGAGTTTAGGGTTTAGGGCTTAGGCTTTAGGGTTAGGGGATCCAGAATCCAATTTCGAGTCCTGCTCGCAGGCGCCCAGCAAGCGAAGTGCTTCGCGGAGGACATGGTGGCTGCCGGCTGGAAGGATCCCTTCAACAGTTCTTTGACAGGTTTCCGGAAGGGCGTTGCCATGTATGCTTGTCAAAAGGTTTTCGCAATACGTGTTGAGGTGGTTTATCGGGGGCGGGGAGGGAGAGGGTTGCAAGAGCCTTGCAAGCTTCGCGGCTTCAGATGTGGCAATTTCCGTAGCCAAGAGATTCAAACATCTTTGCTGACCCCATGTCGTAGGTGGCCTTAGAAGGACTTGATTTTGGAATCCCAAAAGGACATAAGCATAATCATGTTATCGGGATATCCCTACCTTATTGGCTTCATCAGAATCGGGGGATTTATATGGGATTTCCCTATCCTTATTTTCGCTCATGTGGTTTTTGGGGGCCCTATTAACGATAAAAGAATGCACTTGCTTGTCGGCGCACCCCACCGAGCTATCAATGTCATATGGGCAGTGCTCCAAAACAGGGTCCCTTTTTAGGTTCCCAGTATAGTACGGCACCCTTATAAACAGGACCCGAAAAGGTTCCCATATCGCAGAGATTTAGGGCCTCGGGGTGTCGGTGCATCATTTTGCGATCTTCAAACACATAATAGTCTCCCGGTCGGACCAGTGCGCAGCCTGTAGCAATTATCAGCACAGATAGTCTTTGAGTTATGTTTCCTAACTCAAAAGAAACAGAGAAATGACCACACCCCGACCTTCAAACCCTTCAATATCCTGTTGAGAGCCTATCAACGTCTTCATTGGAGCTTTCATACAACAGTCCTCAGAGACTCCAATACTCTCACGTAGGGATTACAGCTGAAGTTGTAAAGGGATCTTGATTATAATTTCAGATCTACCTGCACCCTACAGAACCTGTCATTTCTGGGCTCCTTGTTGTGATCTCCGTATGTAAGTCCCAAAACCAGTGCGGTTTCAAGGGTCAAGGTACTACTAGTTAAAGGGTTTTGGAGTCTCCGGGCTTTCACAAATCTGTTTCAGACTGATCGGGTTCTTGTGTAAGATCTTAACATAGGTTACGATAAGGAGGAGACCCTACAGTAGTGTTTGCTTAGTATTTATTCTAGATCCCTGTCATGGTAACTTAACCCTAAACCCTAAACCGATGAACAGGACTGGGAACCGACGGCCCGGGATGAGCGCCTCTGGCAGCAGATCACGGACGAGCTTCTCGTCCTAAAGGTTATCATATAAGTCTAATATAAGTATAGTTCCTTTATGCCACGAACTGCGTCTTAAGTAGGGCAGCAGTAAGGTTTTCCGGCTTTTGGGGTTTCGGGGTTCGTGTAGTATAGTTTAGTGTATGTAGTAGAGTAGAATACAGAATAGTACAGGGTATTATGCCACAGTAGAGTACAGTATAGCATAGTAAAGTATATGGTGCAGTACAGTTTACTTTAGCTCAGTGAGGTACAGTACGGTGAAAAAGTATGGAAAAGTATAGTAGCTCTGGGTTTAGGGTCTTAGCACGCCCAAACATTAGGGAGCAGCCCGCAACTAATCCAAGAGGGTCGGCAGCCACAACTTCCTGCTGCATCCCTGATGAAGGATGTGGCGGCTTACAGAAAAGCCAATGACGATATTGCTGCGCACAACAAAAAGGCGATGGCCTATAATGCAGAGCTGGAGGCAATAGACACTCAATCCGACGGAGACCAAGTCGCTGGCGGCGTACCGCGGCGAGTCGCCCGGGCTGGTGTATTCGTTGGGCCAGAATGGTGCGACCAGTTTCGGCATAACGCGCACGGAGAACCATCTACAGACCATGATACGTTATGCCGGCTTGACGTGGTGCGACGGGCCGTGGGCCTCCGGGGCAGGACTCGACTGGTTTGCGATTTGGGACTGGGTTGTGCTTGGGCAGCGTTGAGCGTTACATCAGATAGGATTGTGAGCAAGTTGCCAATTTGCTGCATATGTGCCACAGCCTGTTTTAAGGCCAGGCCGTATACACGACCCACGCTCAGCGAGTTAGTTGGGGTTTTGGCTAAATACTAGCTGTTGTGCCACATGATGTGCCAAGTAGGTCAGTTAGGCCACGGTCCACGGCTGTGATGTTACTGTGATGTTGAGACTGATGAGAGGCCGAGAAACCCGAAACACCCACAACCCACATCCCACACTCAACCCTAAACCCTCAACCCTAAACCCTAAACCCTAAACCCTAAACCCTAGACCCTAAACCCTAAACCCTAAACCCTAAACCCTAGCCCGGCCCAACCCCCCTAACCGCCCAACCTGAAGGAACGCGTAAAGGAGCCCATTGCCCTCCTGAACATCCCTAAACCCTTAAACCCTTGAAGCATCTTGAGCCCTCAACCCTATAGGAAACTCCAGAAAGTTGGAATATGGTTTCGTGGTAGGATACCCTATAATTTACCATAAAGGGTTTAGGATAATCATATTCCAACTTTCTGGCTTTTACCCTAAACGCTGAACCCTCCACCCCAAACCCCGTAAAGGCCTCATCGAATGACCCTTAAAGGACACCCGAAAGCCTCTAAAGAACCCTGAAAGGAATACGTACCCTAAATCCTAAGCCATGAGAGGCAACTTATAGAACCTCTATAGATCCCATTAAGGAAACCTCTAGCTAAACTCTAAAGCCTTGAAGGAATCCTGAACCCTAACCCCCTAAACCCTGAACCCTAATCGCTCATCCCCAACCCTTAATCCCGTAGACCCCTTTGAAGGAACCCTTATACATCCTGTCAAAGGGAACCCTTATAGATCCCTTTAAAGGAACCCTTACAGATTATTGATCCCTTCAAACGAACCCTAAACCAAATCCCAATCCCTAAACCCTAAACCCCCAACCCTCAGCCCTATAGATCCCGTCACAGGAGCCAACTATCATAGATATTAAAGGAATCCTTATAAGATCCCTTTGAAGGAACCCTAAACCGCACGCCCTCAACCCTATAGATCCCTTTGAAGGAACCAACCGTCATAGATCTCTTTGAAGGCACCTTAAACCCCATGCCCCCAATCCGAAACCCTGATAATTAATAACTAACTCCAAACCCTAGACCCTCAACCCTATGGATCCCTTGAATGGAACCATCATAGATCCCTTCAAAGGAACCCTTATAGATCCCTTTAAAGGAACCATTATAGATCCCTTTAAAGGAACCTTAAACCCCATGCCCCAAATCCTAAACCCTAATCCCTAAAGCCTAAGCCCCCGACCCTCAACCCTCCATCATAGATCCCTTTAAAGGAACCCCCTATAGATCCCTTTAAAGGAACGGGTTTAGGCTTCCGAAGCCTAAACCCCACGCCGAAGGTTCGGAGGCATCTCATTGGAGCAGTTCGCCGAGGCCTCTGAGAACGAGGGCTTCGCTGTTTGAGCCCAGCCCGGCCCAGCTGCCCGAAAGCTTTAAAGGGATCTATAAGGGTTCCTTTAAAGGGATCTATAGGGGTTCCTTTAAAGGGATCTATAGGGGTTCCTTTAAATGGGTCTATAAGGGTTCCTTTAAAGGGATCTGTAAGGGTTCCTTTAAAGTGCTTATGTCCAGGTCTTTATGGCATGACATGCATGTATGCATGTATCCATGTATGCATGTATGCATGTATGCATGTATGCATGTATGCATGTATGCATGTATGTATGTATGCATGCATGCATGCATGCATGCATGTATGTATGTATGTATGTATGTGTGTATGTGTGTATGTACATGTATATGTATATGTATCTGTATATGTATGCGTGAATGTATGTATGCATGTATGTATGTATGTATGTATGTAATTCCTAATATGCTTGGTGTCGTTGACAAGGACTTTATAGGGGGTTCATTTGGGCGTAACCGTGTTCTATTGAGGCTTTGAACGGCATGTCGATTGTGTTCAATCTTGTTGTAGGAAAAGCCGTCCATGCAAAACCAAGCTGTGAACTATATGTGCCGTGCACGATTGAGGGTTGAGGGTGTCAAGCCCAAACAGCCCATTACACCGCAATAAGCGAATATTCCTAGCATACGTGGGGCTTGCTGCCGATGGACAAAATCCTGCATGACTGCGAGTACCTTAGACCATGCGGAGTATGGTCTAGTCAGGGTTTTGTCTTCAAAGCAGCTTGTCGTATTGTAGTCGAGGGCTTCGTAGATTTGTCGATCCAACCCGTGACTTGGCAGCGTCGGTAGGACCATAAACCTGAGTCAATCTTGAATAGCTGTGCTTGGGGTTAAGGGAAATTGGTCTAGTTCCAGGCAATGGGAAACATCACATCCTCTACCTGCCTCAAATCGAACCAACAGTAAAGCGCAGCAATCGAAACTACTCGAAAGATGTAAACTGATTGGAGAGAGTTGATATGCCCAGCACAAGTAGTAGCAGCTGTTTTAGAACGCGAACAAACAAGAGTGGAATGTTTAGGTCAAGGTTTAGCGAAGTTGGAGTCTGGCTGCGATTTGACAGATGGTACGGTCCATGGGGGCATGGAGCACGGCAAAGCCTTCCGGCTGTCCCCTTGGTGTCCATTTCCCAGAGGGTCCTTATACACTCCTTATACACTACCGTCACGGAAATAGGGCCGCAAAAGCATAATAGGGAAGGTCTTTTAGGACCCAATTCCATAATGGTAGTGTTTATGGACGCCCAAACCCTAAACCCTAAACTCTAAGCCCTTAAACCCAAGCCCTGATGGTGGTTACGGACCCTTTGGGTTTCAAGCATGTTATTAATATCTCTTCCTGGAGTTTTCAAAGCAGGCCTCGGCACTCATCAACTCGGTCGCCTTTGAGCTTTCAACCCAAACCTTAAGGGTCCATGTGCCCAAATACTACATACTTTGGCCTTAACGTAGTACCTATATAGGTACTTTAGGGCCAAAGTAGATGCTATTTGTGTACATGGACTTTTAGGGTAATGTGAGAACCTGATTCAGAAACCTCGGGCCTTCATTAGGGCTCCTCATATGAATCCTACTATTCTGAGGGGTTATACTGCTGATGATAATTATGGTATATTCCTTGTTATGGGTAATGCAGGATTTATATCATCGACCGTATTTTGCGGGTTTATAGGGCCAGGGTTTCTTAATCAGGTTCCTACATTATGCAAAACCCTCAGGGCTTCTGAAAGGCCGCCTTGGGTTCTATAATCAAAGGGGAAAAGGAGGGACCCTTAATGGGGACCCCTACCCTGTAATGGGCTATATAATGGGTATACAGTAGCTGTATTAAGGGTATATACCTGGGGGTCCTTCTTAGGGGTCCCTCCTATTACCCGTGGATCCTAACCAAACCTGATGGGACCCTCGGAAAACCCTCTTCTTGAAAGCCATAAAGACAGAGCCTAAATACCCTAAGCCCCGAAGCCAGGGCTTCTAGGACCTAGAGTAGGCCCTTCTTCCCTTTTTCTAGGGTTCAGGTTCCCTTGTAAGCCCCTTAAAACCAAAAAGGGCACCCCCTTTTCATTCCTAGGTCACTCTTGGGTTATACCCTAAACCCTAAACCCCTAAACCCGTTGCCTTGGGTTCTTTAAGGTTCCTTCAAGAAGCCGCGTTGGGTTCTAGAAGGGGTGGGGTATGGGTTTAGAGCTTACCTAGGGCTCCTTAAAAGGGATCTATAGGGGTTCCTTAAAGGGATGTATGGGGTTTAGGGTTTATGGTTTACTTAAAGGATCATGGGACTTAGTAACTCGGGCTATAATTAGAGTAAGTATACTTATAACTACTTATAGCCCTCATTAAGGTACTTATAACCTTACTTACTAAGCCCCATGATCCACCAAGTAGGGCCCTAAGCCTGTCAATGACCTAGTGACATGAGAGCCTGAATAACAACTACATCGTACTATTCCCGTGAGCTCCCTGTTTTAGTAGGAATAATTAATGCTATTCCTTTGGCTTCCTTTTTATCCCCAAAGCCCTGTACCAATTATTAAGGCCCCTACACTAGGCCTCAACGACCGGTAAGTTTCAGAAGCAGGACCAAACTCAAGTGCTTTGGGTTTAGGATTTACGGATTTGTCGGGTTTGGAGTTCTGGCGCTCAAGCCCCAAGGTGTGTGGGGATTTGCAGGATGCAGGCTTAGGGGTTTAGGGTTTAGGGGTTTATACAGGGGTTTAGGGTCTAGGGGTTTAGGGGTTTATGGTTTAGGGTTTCCTAAACCGGTGTAGTTTCAAGGACGGGTACCTGTAAAATGAACCTTGTATATGAGCAACACCAAACATGTACCCCTCATTCCAAGGGTCCCTGCCGACGGGGACTGGCCCTAAACATTAACCCTAAACCCCTAAACCCCTAAACCCCTAAACCCCTAAGCCCCTAAACCCTAAACACCTAAACCCTAAGCCCCTAAACCCTACACCCTAAACCCCAAACCCCTAATCCCCTACACCCTAATCCCCTAAACCCTAAGCCGCTAAAGTCTAAACCCCCAATCCCCTACACCCTAAACCCCTACACCCTAATCCCCTAAACCCTAAACCCCTAAACCCTAAACCCCCAATCCCCTACACCCTAAAACCCTAAGCCCCTAAAACCCTAAGCTCCTACACCCTAAACCCCTAAACCTTAAACCCTAAACTCCTAATCCTCTATACACCCTAATCCCCTACAACCCTGAAACCCCTTAATCCCAGGGCTGGCTCGTTTAGAGACCGCAGACTCAGTCTCCAGGACCGCTAAGCGGCCGAACAAGTCAGGAGTTGTTCTCCGAAGGGCTCATGTTTCTAGTAGTCCTCTAAAATTCCCAAGTCCTAATCCCTAAACCCCTAGGGCTTCAGTTACTTAACTAGTAGGTTACTAACCAAATATTCCGTAACCAAGTAACTTGGTACTTAGGTAACTGGAGCCCTAGGGTACATTACTGATATCCCAAGCCTATGCAATTATCCAGGTAATCAGTTGTTTGACTTAGGGTAAACGGCTTACAGTAGCTGGCAGAAGTTGCGAACTCATTGAGCTTGCCCGCATGCTGCTGAATAAATCTGCGGGAATACCAGCACTTCTGTCTCTGTGCGACTTTCTGCAGGGTGTTCGGGCTTACCGTTTTCTAGGCCGCTCGGGGACACTGTCATTTGTTTTTTTCGGTATCGTCTATTCCCAGCGTGACTTGAACAATTCAGCTTTCGGGGCTTTGGTGGACGCTTCAGGATCGGGTATCTCGAAAACCCTAAGCCGCTAAACCCTAAACACCCTAAACACCCTAAACCCCTAAACCCTAAACCTTAAACCCCTAATCCGGTACTCCCGAAAACCCTAATTCCCAAACGGCAGCCCTCCTTATCGTAAAAGTCGTATTCTTGTAGTTATCTGACGCGGGACCCCACATTCGGAACAACCCTGGCATCTTTCCGTGGGCGATCACGGTCCTTTCTCTATTCTATCCCAGAGACTCTGCAACTTGTTGATCTGCGATTTCGGGGATTCCGGGATCCATTTTACTAACTTACGATCGAAAGTACGGTCTTGTTTACAAAAGTGTGGCATTCTTCTGAGGACTGCAACGGACCATTTTGTAGCACCCCTTTGCACACATACCCTTCACCCTCAACCGTAAACCCAAATATTCGAGCACCCCAAATCCTAAACCCCTAAGCCCCAATCTCATATTACTAGCTGCGTTCGTGCAGCTGGGTAAAACAATATATTTCAATTTCGGATCTGTCTTAAACAGCCAAAGGGTCCAAAGTACTGTTATGGGGGATACTTCCCCAAATCATAGTAGTAATTCTCAATATAGGAACCCTACATTCTACCATAAATGGTACTGTGGACCCTTTGGGCATGGAATCTCTAGGGGATCTCTAGCACAGCTTGGGTTGAGGGCGTTGCAGTCCCTGGGTCTTCGCGACATTCGGTGCCAGCTCGCGAAACCCGGAGCTTTCGGTTGATGATAGAAATCCTGCATTACCCTTCATGAGGAATATACCATAATTCCCATAGTTTAGGGCCCTTAAGGTAATGCAGGATTTATATCATCAACCGTTTTCACTTTCAGGCTTCCCCAAAGGCTCCAAGTAGGGCTCCTTTAAGGGATCTATAGGGTTTTAGGGTTTAGGGTTTAGGGTTGATGATATAAATCCTGCATTACCTGAATGGCGCTAGACTAGGGGAAGTATGATATATTCCTTATTATGGGTAATGCTCTCAGGCTTCGCCAAAGGGTCCAAGTAGTAGTCTAGGATATACTTTGGGCCCCCAAATACCTACTAAGTACCTGCTACAATGGTACTTGGACCCTTTGGGTTCTATAAGGGTTACACTATCATCAAGGTTCAGGTTTAGGTGTTAGACTGTGCAACTTTTGGCGCGGGGGGTCAGCACCTGGAGCCTCAGGCCCGGAAGGAGGTTTCATGTTTGCATGTGTGTGCCTCTCTCCCTGTCTCTCTCTCTCCCCTGTGTTCAATGTCTAAACCCCTATTTGCCAAATCAACTGATCTTTCGAAGATACACTTCCCCGAGCCTTCCAGCTGAGCCCTCGCCTCCCTCTTGCAGCTTTTTCAGGTTGTACTACCTAAACGGTATATAGAGCTGGCAAAGACGTACGTTAGAGTCTTTACCCAGGTGCCGGCCACGTTGATTGGACGACCTTTGTGGACTTCACCAACGTAGCCGCTGCAGGCATCACGGTGGATTTAGAGGGAGGGTCCTGTGAGGCAAAAGTTGCGGCTGTGTATGGCGTTGTGGCGCTTCCCAGACCTCATAGGAGGCCAGAAAGGGTTTTAGCGTATGGGGGTTTAGCAGGGATTAGGATTCCCATAATAGGGTTCATATTAAGGAATCCCTACCCCAAGAGTCTTAAACCACCCTTTTGGCCTGAAATTAGGGGCTTCTCATGTGGAGCCCAAAGCACTAGGACACCAAGGCTAAGAACACTTCAAGAAGGGAACATATATATATATATATACATATACATATATATATATATATATATACATATATACATATATACATATATAATCATATATACATATATATATATATATATACATATACATATATATATATATATACATATATATATATATATACATATATATATATACATATATATATATATAATATTGGCATTTGGTTTTCCCTAAACCCCCAAGCCCCCAACTCTAATCCCGTTATGGGTTTGCAGTACGGGCTAGAGCCTTGCGCTTAAGAGGTTTTGGTGGGGTCAGGGTTCCACGGCGCGGGTCCTGCGGCGCAGGGTTCAGGATTAAGGGTGTCGGCTTATGGTTTCTCAGCAATTTGATATTAAAGCTTGATTGATGACTTCTACTGGAGCAGTACGAGCATGACCACCATTCGTGTTGCGTTGTTTTCAGCTTGAACTTGTTCGTGTATTGTCGATCTTAGGTCTTAGGAATATTGATCCGGTGGCAACTAAGGTGAGATAAATACGGCTCAAGGTGTAGGGTTCGTTGACATCGGACTCCGTGCTGGTGGCTCGAGAGGGTTAGGGGCTACATAGGGTGCAGGGTGTAGGGTTTAAGATGTAGTGTTTGGGGGTTCCTTATAAGGCCGCCACATTATGCCGTTTGGTTTGAGGGTTCCAGTGTCAAAATTTCGGATGAAGGTCTCTATGAACCTGTAGGACACTGTTGTCTTGTCTGAGTACTGGTTCCTGGGACCCTAACCCTAAACCGCTAGGGTGTAATTGTCTGTCAAAAAGGCTCATCAAGAATCGGTCACCCGAAACCCTACACTCCAAGCCCAAGCTATGGCCTTGCAATTAACAGTAATCCCCTTAAGCCCTAAACCCCAAACCGTACAGCTGTTACTTAGGAGTACTTAGAAATAGTTTTTAATTTTTGGTTATTATAATTAAGATTGCTGCTAGGGTTCTAAGTGCAGTATAGGTTACTAACAGCGAAAGCCATGAGGTTCCCAGCTTGGTTGGCGAACGTCCGGGGGCCCAGACTTGGCCTTTCAATAAACTTTCCTCCTGGTGATCCAACTAGCCACCATTTTCTGGGTTCTTGTTAGGGACTTTAAATTCAGTTACCATGTAATGGGGATCTATGTGAAATAATAGGGTTCCTTGATTATGGACATAAACAGGAACGCAGTTTTAAGGGTTATTCTCGACGGAAGATGATATACCTAGACCCTCCATCTACCCTCTATTGAACCCAAAATGCCCAATTATTTGGGGGGGCCATATACCCCTCTTCGAGGGCACAAGGAGGGTCCTGGTAGGGTCTTACATCAGGGGTCCAAGGATTCCACACTTCCCGGAGGCTCCAGGACCCCTTACAGTAAAGCCCATAAAGTTGGAAACCGGATTAAGGCCAAATAGTGCTGGGATTCCCTATGCATATCTCTTAAGGATTGAGGCTATTGGGTTTCCAACTTTCAGGCTTCTACTGTAGTTCAGGAATATGCTTTAGATAAGGATCCCCCTACAGTCTAACATGAAAGGTATACTCTCAAGTTGCGAAGGCTACACGCGAAGCCTACAATTTTCAACTTAAAAGGTATATACTCCTCAGTTGCGAATAGTTGCGAATGCTAAACTCTAAACCCTAATCCTTAAACCCTAAACCACAAAGCCGAAACCTTCAATCCCTAATCTCTAACCCTGAGGGTCCATGTACCTATATAGCATATACTTTGGGCCCAATGTATCTATATAGGGAGTACTTTCCCTAAACATCTAAGGACTCATATATTAAGGCTTTTGGGCCCAAAGACCATACTATATGAGGCCTTTGGGCTATTTTGATGCCCAGGGTTTAAGGCCTATGTAGAGGCTACATGAGTAGGGTAAGATCCGCCTCCAGCGGCTGCCTCTGGGTTCTATACTTTCCCAAAGGGTCCAAGTACCATTGTACCAGGTGCTGAGTAGGTATTTGGGGCCCCAAAGTATATCCTGCACTACTACTTGGACCCTTTGGGTTAGGCAGGTATCGACTATATGAGACTACGGACACGTAGGGTGTGAATGCTTAGGGCCTGGTGCTTTGAGGGCTTAGGGCGGGGATCAGGAGTAGGGTCCACGCTTCATACATGTTTCGAAGAACTGGCCCAGGATACATGACTGAGCGCATGAGCTTTGTCATAGATTCGTTGATCCAACGCTCGTTAGCCAAGAGCCTCAGATGAGAGATAAACGCAGGCACTCCAAAACACCTACATCTGGGCTCGCCCAGTCCACAACCGTCACAAACCTTTGAGACCCTTGACCCCAAACCCCAATCCTGAATCCCAACAAACCCTAAGCCCTGAACCCTGGGACCGTACGTCGGGACTTCATAGCTGACATCTTCTTCCTTGGGTTGAAAGTTCAGGGATTCATGGGGGTTGAGAGCGTTTCTGCGCGGAAGCCGCCTGTTTGATTCAGTTTCAGAGCTTGCGTGCTCAGGCCAAGCCCGCAACCACTCAACCCCTACTTGAAGGTCCAGGGTAGTTATAATTACAAGTGGGCTTCTAAGTATGGCAACTATATTTATGTCCCATATACTAGGGGACTTATAACTCCACTTATAACTACCCGTGAGCCTCCAAGTAGACCCTATACCCTTATAGAATCCCTATTGATCCCTTCAAAGAGACCCTTTAGCGAACCCTTATAACTACCCCCGAACCTCCAAGTAGACCCTAAACCCTATACCCTTATGGAACCCCTAAAGATCCCTTTAAAGAGACCCATTTAGGGAACCCTTATAACTACCCCTGAACCTCCAAGTAGGCCCTAAATCCTATACCCTATAAGCACCGATGAACCTCCAAGTAGACCCTAACAGCCTGCCGCCTGACTTGCTGAACTCTCAATTAGGGACCCAAAAAGCACATAAGCATAAGCATTTTATGGGGATATCCCTACCTTATTGCGGGCTTCATTATAAGGGGATTTATATGGGATATCCCTACCCTAATTTTTGCTTATGTGTTTTGTTGGGGCCATACTCAACACTCTGGGATTCACAGGGGTCCAGAAGATCAAGATGCCTCATCTAGGTGAAAAATTTCGAACCCTAGGGTTTACGGTTCTGGGTTTAGGGTTTTGGGTTTTGGGTTACCCCATAAAGCTGGAAATCGGAAAAAATGGCCAAATAGTGATGGGATTCCCTATATGGGTGGTTGTCAAAATCAGGGCCCCTTTTTGGGTCCTTAATATAGGGGACCCTATTTTGACAACCACCCATATTACTCTCAAGTTAAGGGTTGAGGCTATTGGGTTTCCAACTGTTGGGCTTCTACCATAGGTGGAAAGCTTTCACAACAGCCGTAGAAGGATCATCGGAAGCCAAAAGGGGTTTTAGCCTATGGGGGTTTAGTAGGGATTAGGGTTCCCATAATAGGGTTCATATTAAAAAAACCCTACCCCAAGAATCTTAAACCCCCTTTCGGCCTCCCATCAAAGGATTCTACACTTCAGAGCCCTCAGCAGCATTGCGCTCTCAGAGTGCTAAGGCTCTTCTACGGGCCGCAATCCCTTCTCGAGGTCTTCCCGACCCTTGCAACCGCTCTGGATTCAGGGCTTAGGTTTTTTTTGGATTTATATAGTCCCTAAGGCTCCATGCACCCCTATAGTTTGTACTTAGACCTTAAAGGGATCCCTATATAGGTCCTTTAAGGCCTAAGTATCTACTATATGGGTACATGGACCCTCAGGGTAAGTTTAGGGTTGGAGACAAATCCTGGGATCCCAACAGCCTACGCTTTTAGGCTTGCACCCTACGGTGAAGGGGCCAGAACCTACTCTTTTATAGGGTTTGGCAAGCCGCCTAGATAGAAGCGCTTTCGCAGCAGCATAGGCATGGCATTTGGTCTTCGAGGCTTTCGATTTTTGGCCTTGGCTCATTTTCTACTTACAGTCTTGAATGGGTTTCGTTCGGGGTGTGGGCTTAGAAGTTCCTGTGTTGGGAGTTGGCTTCACCGTAGAATTCGGGTTTGCAGTTTCAGGCAGATGGTTTAGCAATTGGTGCTGTCGTAGTTGCAACAGCCACGAGCGGCTTGAGATTTCAAGTGTTCACGGCCGCGTTATCGGTTCAAAACAGCGCTTGCCCTGGAGTGCAAGTACGTAGGAGGTATTAACCCTGAGCCCTAAACCGTAGGGTTTGAAGATGTCCATTCGGCCCGTACACAAGACCGTTAACTCCAATCCTCTGAGCTCAAAAACCCTACTGCCTGAGGCCATGAACCCTGAACCCCTACTGTACGGGCCGAATAATTACCCATACCATTTTTGGGGGTGTTCCTTATCATCATTATAGTAACCCCAAAACCATTTTCCGGTTTGTTAAGGCCCCTGTAGTGCTAGAAATGGGGCATGGGGTGTAGGATTTTGATGTCTGGATTCATAAATACCTATACGGTTTAGGAGTCTCATGTACCCTTGACCCAGAATTACACTGAGATCGCAGCAAGCATGTGCCACGGAGCATGGAAGCCTCGACTGTCGCCATGACCTGCACCTGCCGGGTCCTCTGTGTGCGCCTTAGAGCTTAGGGCTTAGGGTTCCTAAGAGGATCTATAGGTTAGAAGCTGCCCCCACCCTGTAATAGTGGTATAATAGGACTGTAATAGGAATATAATAGGGCCCTAGTATAATCCTTATAGTCACTATTACAGGGTGGGGGCAGCTTCTAAACTATAGGGATTAAAACACTGACTAGGAGAAACGTGTTGTAGGTTGGGTTGTAACTCGTGACAACAGGGTCCAGGTATCTCCTTAGGAGGGTCCGGAATCTCCTAGGGAGAGTCCTTGGGTCTCTTTGGGGTCTCAGAAACCCTCAATTTTGAGGTTCCCCAATTTGTCAGGAAACCCTAAACCCGTAGGGTATGTCGCTTTTCCCAAAACCATGTCGAAGCTCGGGCTGGGCCAGTTTATCTTGTTTACAGCTTCATTAGGCAGGTATCGAACCCACGATGAGTCCTGTGCCCTCAAAACTGTATTCCTCAACCCAGAAAGGTCAAGGTAGATTATATAAGCCCTAAACCCTAAAGTCCTGCAAGCCGTACAACTCACGGGTACAGTTCGGGACCTAACACCCTACCATGTGGCTACCTGGACACTTAGGGTTACGGTTTTAGGGTGAAGAGTTTGGGGTTTGTTGGGCGCGGCCAGCATGGTTGCACCCAGGTCCTCAATGTTGAGCACAAGTGCCACTCCAGGAGGCACACACAGTTGTTCGAATTAGGGTTTAGGGTTGTAGCTGGCTGCCCGGATCCTTTCGGAAAGGGCGGACTAATCAAACGTTAAGGAGTTTGTAATAGTTTCAGCATTAAGGAGTTTGTGATAGTTTCAGCATTCAGGGTTTAGCATCTTTATTGAGTTTCGGTTTGAGGGCATCTGGGGTTCCGAGGTGTTACATCAAAGGATTTTGTTAATTAAGGAGCTTAAACTAGGTTAGCATATTAAGCCCTACCCTACTCTTTGCTATAGATCCCCATTATGGTACCTGAGCTAGGTTCCTAAACCCTGCAACCCCAATAGAGCCCGTAAAGAAACACCAAATTCTGGTAGCTAACACTACAGTAGAAGCCAAAAAAGTTGGAAACCCAATAGCCTCGATCCTTAAGAGCAACTTATAGGGAATCCCAGCACTATTTGGCCTTAATCCGCTTTCCAACTTTATTTGGTTTACTGTAAGTTCCTTACCCTAAGGGTTCAGATATCTCCTTAGGAGGGTACGGAATCTCCTAGGGAGAATCCTTGGGTCTCTTTGGGGTCTTAGAAACCCTCAATTTTGAGGTTCCCCAATTTGTTAGGACCCTTAAGGTTAACAACCAAGAGCCCAGGCTCTCACCGCTCTCGCCTGATGGGTTTCGACTCGCCTGAGAATAAACTGGGGGCCTTAATAATTAGAATCTAAATTAGAATAGGGTTTTAGGACCGACTAAATTATGCTTACAATAAGGAACCCCCCAGAATAGTGGAGGTGATTATTGAGGCCCCTACCATAAGTCAGGAAACTTCAAACTGCCACAGCAAATGACCCGTAGCACAAGACTGGGAGCATGTGCTACAGTACCATAGCAATACTACTGTTGATGATATAAATCCTGCATTACCTTAAGGGCCCTAAACTATGGGAATTATGGTATGTTCCTTATTAATATGGGTAATGCAGGATTTCTATCATCAGCCGTAGGAGCTAGAGTAGGCACTTCGTCCCTTTTTTGGGGTTCAGAGTCAGGTTTCTTTATAACTCCCATGAAACCAAGAAAGGCACCCGTTTTATTCCTAGGCTACGCTGAGGTCAAGGCAATATGTTGCTGTACAGTACACTATCTTGTAGTGTAGCATATCATAATATATATATATATATATATATATATATATATATATATATACATGTTTTATACCTAGGGTTTGTATTCTGTAACATACATTGCTACATTCTGCAATCAGTTGCTCTGTGTCCTGCATAGTTGAAGCCTTAAACCTTAAACCCTAGGAGAACCATTTCTATATGGCTTATAGAAATTCTAGAGGAGCCCTTACAAGAAGCTCTTAAAGGAATACCTTAAACCCTAAACCATGACAGGTCCCTTTTCGAACTCTTATAGATCCCATTAAGGAAACGCTACAACCCTCGACAGCCTTAGGCTATACAAACCCTGTAGAACCTTTGTAGAACCCTTCAAGGAGCCTTATCTATATGGGAGCTACCGAAAATAGGGGACCCTAATATAGCACCCTAAATAGTAGGATCCTTATCACAAGGACACCAAAATAAGGTTATATACCCGGAATTTTCGGAAACTCCCCTTTGAGTCTTTTGCCGTGGGAGGCGTGGGATCCGAGGCGCCGCCCTACGCTGACCCGAAGCTGGGTGTGGTGGCCTCAGCTCTTGAACCTTGACTTAGGGGTACTTAGACATAAGTTTAATTTTTGGTTATTATAATCCTTAAGAAACAGCTAAAATTATAATTATTTTGTTGCTAGGGTTCTAAGTTCAGTTTAGTTGAGGGTCCAAACCCAGACCCCCGGTAGGATCCAACAAGTAGATCCCTTAATGGGGGTTCCTAACAAGGACCCTTAGTAGTATAGGGCCCCAAATTGGGGGATCTACTTTCTACATCCTCCCGGGGGTCGGGGAAGGTGTAGGGCTCCCCTTTAAGGAAATCTATAAGGCTTCCTTTAAAGGGATAGCCTCGGAACTCTGACCCTAGAACGTCCATATACACTACCATCAGGGTTTCGAGTTTTAAGGTTAGGGCTTAGGGCTTAGGGCTTTTGGTTTGGGGCTTAGGGTTTAAGGGTTTAGGGCCTAGGGCTTTAGGGTTTAGGGGTTTTATCCTTGAGCGTCCAAAAGTTTAGGGCTGCCTTTGAAGGGATCTACAACAGTTCCTTTAAAGGGATGTGCAAGGGTTCCTTTGAACGGATCTATTGGGGTTCTGTTAGAGGGATCTGGAAGTTTATAAGGGTTTACTGTAGGGCTTTGTGGTTCAGGGTTTAGGGTTTAGGGTTTAGGGTTTAGGGTTTAGGGTTGTTTTGGGATCTACAAGGGTTTAGGGGTCTGGGCCCCAAAAGTATGTAGAACAACTATAGGCTTTTATAGGTGCCCGACCATTACTTACCTGCTTTTAAAGGACTTTAGCTACAACCCTAATCCGATTATAAATTGGTACGAACCTTAAACCTTCCACTCCTCAACCCCAAAACCTCGGACTCTGCAAGCCCGCTAGACGAGTTTTTGTTAGGGGTTTAGGGTTTAGGGTCTAGCATGTGGGCTGGCATAGGGTTCGAGGGGGTGTTAGAGGGTTTCGGTTCCCCAAAACCCTGCACAATGTAGTAGCCGATGCTCAGATAATGAACACCACAGCCCGAGAATAGCGGGATATTGGATCGCCAGGTAGGGAGTCGATTGTTTGGCGTTTCGGGTCGAGTCAAGGCGTCAGAGTTTGGGGTTTAGGGCCTAGGGGTCTGTCAGGGTCAGTTCAGGGTCCAAGACACCCAGAGACTCCAAGATCCCTTAATTAAGGAATATATCTTAAATCATATTAGGGGTCCTACTATCATTTAAGGTAGATTCCTTAATTAAGGGATATTGGAGTCTCTGGGCACTCCAAAGCTATCTATGATATTTCTCCGCAAGGCTCTCAGTATGTTGACTTAAGAGAGTAAACGAACATACATGTCGCGGGGATTGGCAAAGGATGTCGAACCCAGGGTTGTTGTATATAATCCTAAGAATCCTAGAACTTGAAGTAATAGGGGTTGGGGTGTAGGATCTTTGTAGAGTAGGTGAGCATTTGAATCCGAGGGCTGTATGTACTTTGACTGATACTTAGATCTGCACTTGGAGGATCATTGGACTTAGTAAGTAAGGTTATAAGTACCATAGTCGGGGTTCTTAGTAGTCATAGGTATACTTACCCTGATTGAACCCCTACTTACTAAGTCCCATGATCCTTTAAGTAGACCCTAAACCCTTATAGATCCCATTCTAGGAACCCTTATAGATCCCTTTTAAAGGAACCCCAAACCCTAAGGCTCACTTTCTAAGTAGAGGCTGCTGAAAGTTGGATGGCAGGGAGCGGCGGCCTGGCCCGGAAAAGGTTGCCCAGAGATCCCAATACTCCTTAATTAAGGAATCTACCTTAAATTATAGAGGCCTTAATATTATGATTTAAGGTATATTCCTTAATTAAGGAATCTACCTTAAATTATAGAGGCCTTAATATTATGATTTAAGGTATATTCCTTAATTAAGGGGTATTGGGTTCTCTGGGCGGATGCACAAGTGCCCAAGACATCAACGGTTAAGGGCACAGCGGTGTGTCTTTGGAATACAACGGACATTGTTCTACTTTTTAGGGTTTAGGGTTTAGGTGTTTGGGCATTGCATGTATCTTTCATGGAAGAATGTATGGAAGTAGCCACGAAGCATCGAGTAAAGCCATCGAAGCAAACCGAAGATCCGTCAGCCTTTCCGAGGCCGTGTACTGGGATGCACGCCATGCGCGTGCTGGCGAGACGCCCGGCAAGGGGGGGTTGTGGAGGTGTCGGATGTGTGGGTTTGGGTTTCGGGCTTAGGATTTAGGGCTTGAGTTTGCAGTGTGAGTCGTGGGTTGATTCATGCGCTGATGCAGGGCACACCGTGACTCAATGGCTCTCTCCCTCACAAGGTTTTTAAACACAAGCATATCCAGGTGAGAATTGAATCCTGAGTCGCATTTTTCTGTAGTGGCGGGTAAGTTAGAGTTCTTTTCGTGCTGTCTACCCACCTGCAGAGTTAAATGTTCAAGGACTGCAAGGCTCAAGCAGTATGTCATGCGAAGGGTCCATGTACTCAACTAAGAAGCATATACTGTATACTTCGGCCCTAAAGTACCTTTGCATGAGCTTCTTTTAAGGTCAAATTAATTTTACTACATGAGTACCTTGGTTCTTGCAACAAACCCTATTGAAGCGCTTGAAGGAATCCCCTTAAAGGGAACTCCAGAAAGTTGGAATATGGATTAATGGTAGGATCCCCTATAATTTACCTTAAAGGGGTTACGATAATGATATTCCAACTTTCTGGCTTCTACTGTAAAGGAACCCTCAAGAGTACATGGGACCCCTTATAACTAAATGTCTCAGCCTTGGCCAGAACTGCTGTCGGCCATAGTGCTAGCCCACGAAGCCCAATACTTGGAGGTTCAGGGGTAGTTATAAGGGTTCCTTTAAGGGTCTCTTTGAAGGGATCTATTTTGCTCCATATTTTGATGAAGCCTGTCTTCCTTAATTAAGGGGCATTGGGCTCTCTGGGAAAGGAGTGGTTCCCTGATGTAGGCACCTGATGAAGAAACCCTGGGCCCCCAAAATAGTAGGATTCATGTAAGGAACCCTCACAAAGACCCAAGGTTTGATAGCCAGGTTCCTACATATTAGTCCTCTGTCAAATGAAGCACCTTTCTGGTCTAGGGTGTCAGGGTTTATGGTTTACCTTCACCCGGAATAACCTAGCTTTTTAAGGACTTATACAAGGAAATCACAACAAGGATCCCGAAAAGGGTAGGTTATTCAGGCTCAAGGTAGAGCATCGACTAGAACCTCGGACTTCTATAGGGAAAGATAAGTGGAACCTAACGGTTGAGAGACCCGAAGCCCGAAACCCTAAACCCTATTCTTTCTCAAGGATCACCTAGAGGCTCCACATATAGTACCATTGTGGAACTAAGTCCCCAAAGCCATGATATGCATGGTCTTTTGGGACCTAATTCCCTCATGGCACTATATGTGGAGCCTCCGGGTCAGCATCTCGATGTGTTTACACGGGATTTCGAGACTTCGAGAGTTGTTAGGTCCTTCTGCAGCCCGAGACCAGAAATCCGAAGTTGTTTAGGGCTTAGGGTTTTAGGGCTTAGGGCTTAGGGGATATAGGGGCTTAGGGCTTAAGGGCTATAAGGGCTTCGGGCTTAGGGTTTAGGGGCTGTAAGGGCTTAGGGTGTAGGGTTTAGGGGCTATAAGAGCGTGCTATTTAAAGAGCAACAGCAACAACAATGACAATAACAGCAATCAGAACAACAATAACAACAAGAAGCAGACTTCCATGGTACCCCGGAAACCCTCAGGTGCTGCTTTCTTCGATTGGTACGTGCCCTATGCCAGGTACGACTGTCTGCTCTAGCGTACGTTTTATGGTCTTTATGACGCTGGCCCTTGACCCTACCCTAAGGGTCCTAACAAATTGGGGAACCTCAACATTGAGGGTTTCTGAGGCCTCCAAGAGACCCAAGGACGCTCCCTAGGAGATGCCGGACCCTTAAGGAGATACCTGGACCCTTAGGGTATACCGTACCTATAGTCTCAGCTGTAGATCTGTGACCCGGGTTCTGTCTCGGGTTTAGGATAGGGTACTAGAGGTTCGTTTTGTGACGGGGGGCACCTGGTTCTAGTGCCGATAGGGCCTATATCAAGATTTAGGGCTTGGGGTTCCAATTACTATGGTACCGAAGATAGCTTAGGACCTTGACTACGGCGTACGATCTCTTCACATTTCTGCACAAAATGACTGAGCTTCTTGAAGGTTGAATGGGTGGTTGTCAAAATTAGGGTCCCTGTTTGGGTACCCTAAATAATAGGTGCCGTATTATATGTAATAGGGAACCAAAATTGGACCATAATTTTGTCAACCACCCAAATGTACCTTACCTACATAGCAGATATTTGGGCCCTCAAGCCCCAGATAACTGTGCAATTCTGAAGCCCTACAAGCAATGTAGGTCCTGGTATATGAAAAAACCTGAATCTTGGCGTGTGTTGCAGGAGCTTGGTCTTCAAGTTGACTGGACCAGGAAACCCTAGAAACCCCGCACCCTGCACCCGAAAACGCTTCAAGCGTCAAACCCTAACAGACGCTGCCTTTCGGGCTCGGATTTTTTAATCCTAGAAGCTCAGATGTTTACGAGTTTAGGACATTTTGTCAGTTTTTTGGGGTATATCATACATTCAATGTATTGCCCTGAGGTTTCACATACCCCTACAGTATACACCCAGGCCTTAAAGTAGAACCCCTTTAGGTCCAAATACAAACTACATGAGTACATGCACCCTTCAACCCACCACCCCATACAACTCCTACAGAACGCTTACGGGACCTGAAGCACGAATCGCTTAGAGAAGTGTTAGAGTAGAAGACAGAAACTTGGAGCATCTTTATCCTCATGCCCTTCTGGTCAAGTATAAGGAATCGCAGCACTAATCATCCTAAACCCCTGTTCCAACTTTCTGGGGTTCACTATATCCCGAAACCCTAAACGCTCAGCAACCCTTATAGAATGCTTGTGGCATCTGAAACAGGAGTTTGCGGGGCTCACTATAACCCTAAGCCCTTAAATCCTAAACCCTCAAGCCCTAAAGCCCCAAACCCTAAACCTTCGGGTTAAGGGCCCCCGTGGAAGAATATTGGTAGATTCTCCGAGCCTTTAGCCCCTGCTTCCCTGCTTTGGCCGGGACGGAACTCCGCGAAGCTTTTCCACGGTTTTGGGTCTGGGGTTCAGGGCCGTGGGGTTCAGGGTTTCGTAGTTTAGGGTTTAGGGTTAAGTAGTTTGAGGGTTTGGGTTTGGGGTTTCGGAAGTTTAGTTGTTGTGGTTTGAATTTGCGTGTGGGTTTCGGAGTTTTAGTTGTTGTAGTTAGACTTTTCCTGTGGCTGCCTACTGTTCAGTCAATTTACCCTAATTCTCAAATTCGCGAACCCCTGACCCTTTCAGCCTAACCCAGGGTTTACCTGGACCCCAAGCAACCCACATTTCCAGGGTTCCTTATCATGATTTCTCTGTATATATATATATATACATATGTACATATATATATATAAAATATGGTATGTATGTATGCATGTATGTATGTACGTATGTATATATGTATGTGTATACATATATATATATATATATATATATATATATATTATATATATATACAAGCCCCTAAAACGGAACCATGAACCCTAAACCCTGAAGCCACGGGACCTTCAACCCGGAAGCGCGTGGAGGCTTCATCCCGTCTTCGCCTTGATGCGCGGCACTCGAAGATGGGAAGAGCTCGTTCGGAGTCTACTTGGAGGGTCGGGGACTTCGTAAGTAGGTAGTAAGTAGACTTATAAGTACCCTAAAAGGGACCCTAATTGGGGTTATGGTACTTGTAAGTCCATAATATAGGCCCCTTTGAACGATTTACTGTTGGGTCTACCCTAAGGGTCCAGGTATCTCCTTAGCAGGGTCCGGAATCTCCTAGGGAGAGTCGTTGGGTCTCTTTGGGGTCTCAGAAACCCTCAATTTTGAGGTTCCCCAATTTGTTAGGACCCTTAGGGTTGACAGGACCACCCAAAACAGAGGCTTCGGTATGCTTAAAATTTGATGTTCAGGGTGGTTTTGGATTTTGGGGCTTAGGGTGTAAGCTGGAAATGCTTGTGCAAGCAAGCCACAGCAGGGCCGAAGCAGCTAGCATCCTTCGCTGACCCAGCACTGCAGGGCCTCTGTTGTTTGAAGTGTTGGGCTTAGGTGTCTAATGTAGGAACCTGATTAAGAAGCCCTGGGCCCATAACCCAAAATAGTAGGATCCCTAATAAAGGCCCAAGCTTTCTTAATCAGGCTCCTACAATAAACCCTCAAAACCCTTATAGTACCCTTATGGTCCCTTTAAAGGAACCCTAATAAAGGCCCAAGCTTTCTTAATCAGGCCTCTACATTAGAGTTTGAGAGCTTAGGGCTTCAATCGCGGCACGGTCCATAACCCTGGACCCGAGACCCCACGGACCCCACAAGCTGCGCTTGCTCGTAAGCCTATCCATGCCTAGATTACCCATGACCCTGCAATTGCCGAGCTTGATATTCCCAGACCTTCGAAAATCCCGAAATCAAGAACTATACCTTAAATCATAGTAGGGGTCCCACCATAATCTTAACCCCAATTAACCTACCTTTTTAGGGACTTATGTAAAGAAATCATATTGGGGGCCCTAAAAAGGTAGGTTCCTTAGAGTCCAGGCAAGGTATAGTGGAAGGTCTCAGCCGGGAGGGTCGGTACATCCCAAAACGTGTGTCTACCCAGATCCGCCCTAGTTGGAGGATCATGGGACTTACTTAGTAAGGTTTGGGGATCCTCAAGAGGGATCCATAGTGTTTAGGGTTCAGGGTCTACTGGGAGGATCAGGGGACTTAGTAAGTAAGGTTAGAAGTACCTTATTGGGGTTATAAGCAGTCATAAGTATAGTTACCCGAAGCACAACCCTAGTTACTAAGTCCCATGATCCTTTAAGCAGAGGTGTCGGGTATACGGTGCATGGTTTGCGGTTGAGCGGTTCAGGGTGTTGGGGTAACGCTATTCCCAAATCTAACGTCCCCTTCAACCTCGAGCCCGAAATTCTGGAAGCCCTAGTAGAGTAGGCTCCCTTATTGGCCCCTTTCATTGCGCGATTTACTGTTGGGTCTAATTACAGTAGAACAGCAAAAGTTGGAAACCCCTTAGCCTCAATCCTTAAGAGTCATGTAAAGGGAATCCCAGCACTATTTGGCCTTGATCCGGTTTCCAACTTTATGGGGTTTACTATAGTAACCTTCAGCCCTAACCCTTGAACCCCTTAGCCCGACTAGCGGGCGATGTCTCCTCTGTGGCTAAGGCTGCCTGGCCCGGACATGAGTCCCGAGATCTTGGACGTGGGCTTCGGGACATCCGAGGCTGATGTTGTTCTTGAGCTTTACACAGCTTCGGAAGGGCTTGGAGAGTTTGTAGAAAGATGTCTAAGGGTTTCTGTAAGGGATACTTGCCTTTGTCGCCGGTCTACCGGTATACAAGGCCTTTGTACCGACCTGTCCATCTAACCCTAAACCCTAAACCCCGGAGCTCTAAACAGATATTGGATCCTAATCTATTGGCAGTTTTCCAAGTTAGGGTCCCTTTAGAGGTCCTTTTGAGAAGGGTGCCCTATTATCTTGGGAATGCCAAAAGGGAACCTCAGTTTAGAGAGCTACCCGTATGCCTTGGATCTGCCCCTCACTCCGTAGCAGCTGAACAGTATGTTTAATATAGATGCATTAGGCCCTTGGCAGTACCCCTACTAGGGGCTGTTGCTGGATGGGGGCAGCAGATTCGCACGTAGCCTGAATATAGGGGTCTGAACAAGTGCATCATAGGCCCCAAAACCCTAATCCAAGTTTAAGGCTTACATTCATTACCTGGCAGGTACCAGAAAAAGGCGCTTGCTCCCAAACAATTTTCTGGGTCCTTAAGGGAGGGTGGTTCAAGGGGGGAGTGTTACAAGGGATCCTTAGGGAACCTTGAGGGGGCCTTAGGGAGCATCGGAAAGAACTAGGGATTAGTAGCTTGTCTATCCCCATTGGAGCCCCCTCCCATAAGGATATGGACCCCAACCATGAACCCATAACCCAAATCCTTTTTTAGGGTTTAGGGTTTAGGGTTTAGGGTTGAGGGAGCTTCAAGCAAGAAGCCATGTGTTGGCATGTTGCCTCGCTGCAGACGGCAGTGCAGTCCACATAATAGAAGATACGAGTGAACAGCAATGTACGTCTTCTTCCTTTTTGTGCGTATTACCATTTTTTAATATGAACCAGTTACCATTATAGTAATAGCACTATAATCTGCATGGCAAGTTCCAGTGGCATTGCTTCGCATTATTTCGACGTTTGGGCTTCCACCGGCTTCTCCGTCTGACAAAGATGCTGCAAATCAAGATGCTCTCTGGGGAAGATGTGGCGAGCATACCTGTGGAGGGGACTAACGATGTGAAGGGCCTGAAGCAGAAATTGAACGAGCTGCATGGCTTGCCCCCGCGATTTAGGCAGAGGGTTTTTCTCCATGGCGAGAGCTTGGAGGATACTGTGAAGCTGGACTGCCCGATGGACCTGGATCTCGTCTTGTTGCTTGGGAGCTGACTTAACAGTCTTTTTGGCTTGTTGTGCCCTATAATTAAACCCCTACACCCCCTAACGCTAAGCTGTAAAATGCACCAATCCCTAAACCCTAAAACCACTACAGTAGAAGCCCAAAAGTTGGAACCCCCATAGCCTTAAGACGTGTGTAGAGGCCTGAGAAGAGGTGGTTCGAAATACTTATTTTTAGGGGGCAAATAGGAAAAAATATGAATTTGGAAAATCTGAGTTTAGGGAAAAAATAGGGAGTCCGGGGGACTGTGGGCGTGCGCTTTTTTGAAGTTGTTTGATTCTGTATTTGTGGCTGGCTTGCTTTATGCTAGAATTGTGATGGTACAAGCGCATATATTGCTTTATAGAATCCATCAGAGACCCACTTGTGCCCGCATTCATGTTATGGCTAGTTGGTTTGCTGGTCATATGTCCAGTCTAAAGGTCAAGCGACCAGAGACACGGCCCTAGTTGCTGATCTTTTCGACTCGAGCTAACGGAAATATCTCGTACCAATACTGTTATTTGTGTTTTGCATTATAACAAGTTTGGACCTCAGTACATACTGTTTGCATCATATGATTTGCTTCGTTAGTTTTATCGGGCTGAGGACACATAAGCATGGATACTAGTATTCTGTTCTATTGTATTACTTCCAAATATGTCATAGGTTGCAATCACATATATGTGTATTTGCATATGAACATAAGTTACATATATATATATATATATATATGAAGGGTATATGTGTACGGATAAATAAATAAATAACTAAATAAATAAATGTATATATATATATATATATTTATGCATATGTCTATATATATATGTATATATATATATATACCTACATACAGAGACGGATATATATATATATATCCACACACACATGTATGTGTGAAATTGTGCATGGTAGAGAGCTCGGCATATGTATATATATATATATATATATATATATGCATATATATATATATGTATTTATATTTATATGTAAATATATTTGCATACATGTATACTTTGTATATACAGTGCCTTACATTGGTTGACAATTCTGACCTTTCAATGCACATACATAGATGTATACACATATGTGTGCGCGGAGCATGCTTGTGGATGTAGTACAGACTTCTTGATCTGTAAATACTAATTTGTTTGCTCATCTTCGTGTTATTAATACTAACCATGCCCTTTGCATTGCTCTTGTCGGTACGTGTTTAAGATGATAACCGAACATTCAACCCAAAAACAGACAGTAATAGCACTAGATACACGATACTTTTCAATCCACACTAAGCCGATGTTCTATAGGTTACCAGCAACAAGTCTATTGTAAGGTGGCACATACATGTACTTGTCATACTTTAGCTATGATCATGTTCAGAAGAATAATCGAAATATAGAAGGCATGTTACATGTGGACAGGCTGAACGTGTAAATCAATGTACAAATCCTATAGCAGAAAATGTAAATGTGAATGATCCTACAAACATAATGCGCTTTTTAAGCTTAGGTTTGTTGGCCAGTGTGTTGCATAGATGTGCACCGGTGTTCCAAGTGATCGACTTCATGTAGACACTTAGACACAACAAGATAAGACATGTTCAAGACTCTTAAGACCGACAATACCTAACCAGTGTTGTAACAACGAGTATGAAATTAAAGATGAAACTTCTAGTGGTATCCAATTGCAGTACTTGAAACTGGTAAATAGGTCGCCTATACAGTAACGTGGTGATAAACAAATCAGTAACTGTGCAAACAAATGAAGTAAGCCTGATTAGCTGATTATGCCTTCAACTTTACTTACGAAGTAAAAGAACGTTTAGCACACGACAGTACTTGTATTCTATGTATACATCCGCACAGTTTACACATATATACATTTCAAAAATGGGTACTCATACACACTGACGTATGTGTACCTATATACATATATATATATATATATGCATACATACATATTTCACACGCACATGTATCTATGCACATCCAAGTTTTCTAGTATGCTGTGAACAGCCTATGTGAGATTGAAATAAGATTAAGTAACTGTAGTAATTTACGACAATATGATAACCAGTACTATACACTTCATCTGGGGTTTTTCCTGCAAAAAACACAAAAATATCGGCGAAACAATATCGACCTGCATATTTCAGAGACATTTAATGGTCACCGTATTAACAGTAAAAATGGTAGTTACTGTAAAACAAATGGAGCTCAACAAATAATTGGTCGCTGTATCCCGCAGACGCCGATAAGCCTATTTACAAGAGTGACAATGTAACAGCTTTAAACTAGACCAACTGCAGTACTCACACGTACACATGTGCATTGTCTACGAGCCTTGCCGTGAGAGTGCATTGCCCCCCCAATGTGTGCCACTGACCCTCGCGCGTATTTTGATGTTTTTTTGGGTTGGCAGCCACCTCCAAAAGAACCCCAAAAAACCCAAAGAACCAAAAAAATTAAAAAAAAACAAAAGAACCAAAAAAAACAAAAGAACCCAAAAAACCAAAAGAACCAAACAACACAAAAGAACAAAAAAAAACAAAAGAACCAAACAAAAACAAAAGAACCAAAAATCCGACACTCTCCGGCCATGGAAATTTCAGTCCAGGAGTCTCTGGCAATTGTTTTTTTGGTTATTTTGTTTTTTTTGGTTCTTTTGTTTTTTTTGGTTCTTTTGGTTTTTTTGGTTCTTTTGTTTTTTTTGGTTCTTGTGTTTGTTTGTTTGGTGTTTAGGTCTTTTGTGGTTCT